ATAAAACGTAGGTCATGGAGCAGTGAGTTTGTAGCTCCGGTTTGACCTATCAAATGAATGAGTTAAGCCATAAACTTTGGTAGATTCATAGTACATATCCCAAGTTTTAAAATGAGAGGTAGATCACCTCAATTGGATGTGTACACAAGGAGATACGATTTTTATAGAATTAATTATGATTTTTGAAATTAGGCCTGTAATCTGGAATTTGAACAGTGAATAGTAACCCGAGTAATTATGTTGAAATTTTAAATTCATGGGCTTGTGTCATGACCTTCTTGAACCATAACACTTACAAATGCACACTCTGAGGGGTTAAAGGTAAGATGTTTCACACCTTAATTACCATTTTGCCCTCGAACCTACCCTGGATTCAAGCTATATTCATTCCAAGACTCAAAGACCTAATCCTTCCTTTGTAAAACCACACTTAACCCTCCTTTCAGTTTTTCATTCCCTCTCACGTTCATCTCTGCATTCTCCATGACTACTCCCCTTCCTGGAGTCGCAACCTTCCTTCTCCTTCTGTAACCGTCCCTCTCCTTTAGTTTCCTCAAGTGAAACTACCCCTCCACTTCAAAAACCTGTCTCTTCTCTACTTCCTCATCTCCCTAAATGCCAACCTACTCTCCTACGCTTGCTGTTTCTTTCTTGCCTTTGGAATCCATCCCTTGCAGTCCGTATTTCAAGCCTTTCTTCAGTGAACTCTGTTTTTCTTGCCGATCTTTCAAGGTTTACTCTATTTTTCTTTTTATTCTTTCTAGTTTAGTTTAGTTCTGTGTTTTTCTAGGGTTTAGGTTTCTAGAGTTTCGATTTTGATTAAGAGGAGTTTGGGTTGGTTGTTTAATCTGCTGTTTAACTGGTTTTTGAACTGCTTAGGATTACATTTTTTGCAAAAGATTTGGTTTTTTAACAAACTGGTTCATGCTACATTTTTTGAACTTTCTGGGTTCAGAACTGCAATTTCTCAATGGATTTTGACTTTACATATTAAGGATTTGCAAGAAATAGATTTTAGGCAATTGAAAATTATAATAACTTGAGTTTTCTTATGATTTTTCCTAATGGTTTTAAAACGCAAGTGTCCCAATTTAAAATCTTCAATAGTTTTGTTTAAGTGAGCCTAGCAAGGGGTAACTGTAGGCTAGTGTGGGGGAGTACTTGGTTTCTGGGCTTAGTGTAGTTTTTAGTTTCTTTTCTAGGGTTGTTTGTTTTTATGTGTTTACTTTGGTTGTTTGCTGGTTGTTTGCTTTGCACTCAGATGCCTCGTACCAAGAATCCCGAGTCTTCAGGCTCGAAGAAGCTTCACTCTCGTGAGGAGACGAGACTTTCAAGGAAGGAAGCTGTGGAATAATTTGCCAACAGAGGGGTAGTTGAAGAACAGTATTTCCCATAAATGCAGTAGTACTACTTTTACGAGCTTACCAAATAAAGGGGCCTTGAGGAACTTATGAAGAAGAGGAATAAGACCAATCTGACATTGGTGAGAGAGCTCTATACTTGCTCTGCCATTGACAGGCATAGGGGGATCACTTTTAGAGGCAGTGAATGTTATTTAACCCAAGAGACTGTTGAAAAGTTCTCCAAGTTGCTCGATGTCCCTGTCTGTGAGTACCAATCATGAAAGATTAGACTTACGGAAGTTTCTCGAGAAGAGGTTTTCCAAACTATCTGGACAGGGGGAGCTGGGTGGACTATAAAGGAAAATAGGCAAAAAAGTCTTTGAGTGTAAGCACATGAATGACAAAGCCAGGATTTGGCTGAACTTTATGACTTATAACATAATGCCCTCAGCCCACATTTCTGATGTCTCTAAAGAGGGCGTGCTCCTTTTGCACTCTTGATGACCATGCAGCCGGTTAACATTCCCATTATTGCCTTGGACTAGATTGATCATTGTGTTAACAATGTCCAGACTCTTATGGTATTTCCACACTTGATCACGGATATGTGCACAACACATGGGATACCAACGAGTAACTCTGACTTCTCTTGGACCCCATCACAACTAGGTGCTATGCTGCCTCTAAATCCAACAGAGAGAGGGAGAGAGGAAAGAGGGTGGTAAAGCAAGGTCTAGAAGAGTTTCAACCTCGCCTCCTTGACTGATCAGATTACCGAACTCGGTCAACAAGTGATAAACCTAAGTGAGGAGTTTGATGCATATAAAGCTATCTCCACGTCGCATGAGTTTAAAAGACAGAGGTTTATAGATCCTCTAATATTGGAGATGGCCAGGGCTCTTAAGGTCAACTTCCCTCAAAAGTTTGAATAGGCCTTCTGGGACAACACCATTCTGCCACCAGTTATTTTAGTGAGGGTTTGGGGCAATCTTCTAGTGCTGGTACTGCTGCTGCTAGTGATATTGAGATAGGAGAAGGAGATGTTCAGGCAAGAGAAGATATTGGTGAAGAGGAGAGAAGAGAAACAGAAGACTGAGAATAGTCTTTAGTTTCTCTTTAGTTTTTCTTTGGTTTATGTTTTTCCTTTATTTCTATAACTGAAGGCTCTACTTTAATGTATTTAAACTTTTCTGCATTGACCAATTGGTTTACTGTGTTCTTATTTATGGTTGCTGTTATTCTTCTCCCTTTTCCTTTGACAGTAGGGACACTATCAAGTCTAAGTTTGGGGAAGGAATTCATTTCGCTTTGTTGCATAATTTCTGTGGTTGTTTCAGAATTTTTGGCAAAATTCACTACTACAAAATGACAAATACTTGATGGTTATTTTAGGTCATATTTGACAGTTAAAAACCATCAAGTATACTGGCGTCATATATTCCAACAGCAAATATTTGACGGTTATTAACCGTCAAATATTTCAATAATATTTGATGGTTTTAAATGAAGAACCGTCAATTATTATTCAAAAAATTGACGGTCTTTTAGAAAAACCGTAAACTATGTGCTGAATACTTGACGGTTATTTCTTAAAAACTGTCAATTATTTTGGAACAATTATAAGTATACTTGACGGTTTTGGGAACTGTCACGTATTGTTAAAAAAACTTGACAGTTATTTTTGAAAAACCGTCAAGTATACTTTAATACTTGATGGTTCCTTGTGGAACCATCAAGTATTATATGAATACTTGACGATTTTAAGTAATTACCATCAAGTATTATTGGTATTTTTTTTATATACGCATTCTGCTTTGCCAGCAGCCCCCTGCAATTTTGAAACCAAACAAAGGCTTATTCAATAGAACCATGCAGACCAGCATTCAAACCAATTCAGCCATATACATCTTAATGAACCACAAATAATTTACATTATTATATATACATGAACCAAAACCAACTGCGATATTAAAAAAACTTGTGTTTAAGGCAAGTAATATAAAAATTCTGGACAAGTACAAAAGCTGAACCAATTCCAAAATTAGCCAATTGCCAAAGTTGTGCAATGCCAAAAACTAACCAGCAGCAAAAAATGAACCAAAACCAAAATTGAAACCAAAGCTGTATATACACTGTTGAAAGAGAGCCTTTCTTATCGTTCGCTTTGGGGTTCTCAATCAAAAAATAAATCCAAGCTATGCAGTATAGTGCAAACTCAGGTCGTTTCACTTTTGGGAGCCTTTATTAATTACCTAAGCTAGACTAAATGCCATGCAATGCAATGAAATGGGGTTTTGGGTTTTTAAGATTTAAATGAATTGATCCAAAACTGAATGCAATGAAAACAAACCTAAGATACTATATTTTTGGTGTTTTAAGATAATAATGATGTAATGGAAATGATTGATAGGAAATCTCTTGAAAATGGTTTTGATGGCATTCATAGTTCACTTAAATATTGGGAGTTTCACAAATCCATTAGGTTTTCTTAATAAGAACCTCATTAACTCAATGAGTCCAAAGCTTACATTAATGAACTCATTAATGTAAACTTTGTTTAGCTTCCCTAATGTGTAAATTGGAATGATCATGCAAATGGCTTAATGAAACACACAATCTACTCAATACCCAAACACAACTAGGCAAGATAAGAGAGAATCATGAGAGAGACATTAAGCATACATGCAACTACATATATTTAAGCTCAAAGTTCAACATCAATCAATCCAATATACAAAAGATAATCAGTAACCACTGATTACAGAATTAATCAAAGTATCTAACTAAGAGTTTACAATTCCTAGACCTAGGAAATCATAAATGCCTAGCTAAAAACTGAAGATTAAAACTAAAACTCCCCTTTGAAGCTTAGGAACTCATGCTACTCCACCATCTTCAAGAGTTGATAAACCCTAGCCCTCCATAGCTTCAAGAAAAGCTCCAACTGAAGTGAATCCGTCGGCCATGGTAGCTGGGAGTGGAAGGAAATGAGATGGAGTGAAGGAAAGATGAAGGAAATGGATGGGGAAGAAGATGGAGATGGAGAGGCAAGAGGATGGGAGAATAGAGGTGTTGGAGGTGATGGAATGGAGTGTATCATCGAAAATAGGGTTTCTAAGGGTTTTAGGGGTCCATCTGGGTCGGATCATATGATTAGAAGCTTTATTTTCGCGTTCTGATCCGGATCTGGCGTTACTGATACGAAGAGTTCGCTGCGGCGAAGCATGCCCGAGAGGAGCTCTGCCTAATCTTGTGATTTCGCTGCGGCGAAGCTGTAAGTTGGCCGCGGCGAACTCTGCCCGAGAGATTACTGGTGAGATTTCAATTTGGCGCCGCGGCGAACTCTATTAGTGCTGATACTCTGATCTTGTGTTGTGTCATCCTTTGATCTTTGATCTTGGCTCCAATTCTCAATTGTCCTACAATAAAAAGCAACAATTTGAAGCATAAATTGTCCTAGAAATCAACTGAATACAATTAATAACCAATTATGACAATTTTAACCTCAAAAAGACACTAACTCAAAGCAAGGACTCTTAATCTAAATTAAGCACAATTATCATCAAAAGGAGCCAAAATCTATGATAAATACCCTTAAAATGATATGAAATAACATAAAATAATTGGGCTAAATCAACTGTCTTAATGTACACTTCACTATCTATTTTGTGCCCACTGACAGAATAAGGCCATCGCCAACTCTTCAACGATTTCTTCCATCTGAGCGGATGAATACACTGTGCAATATGTGTCAGTAAAGTACTGTATGCAACCACAAATTATGACATAAGTTAGATATAAATGTAACGGTACAGTAAGTACAATTCTTAAATATATAAATTGAACTTTAACAAATGCATATTACCTGCGTAGGGATTGTGTCAGCATTGTGCATAATTATCTCCTTCATAAATTTCATCACGCAATATCCACAATGGGAGCTTTTTTTGGGCTGACATGGGCACTGTAAAGAATGAAAAAGGAAATAATATTAGTCAATCATATAAATAAACTATATTTAGTAGAATAGTAAATAATGGCAATGAATACCTTCACTTTCTTCCATGGGAAGGTATCGTCCAATTGGCCGTTTTTTACCGGGGGGCAGGGTAAGGCTTGATTTGTGCGGTATAGCCACAAAGCCCTAAGAAGACAATAAAATTGAATATTAATGATTGTCAAAAATTAGATTGAAGCAAGAAATTAAATTAAATTTAAATAATAGATATAAATGTTACTTGTTGAACAATGAAACCATAAATGGTCGATTGGTTGGATCCCCATGAAGAGAATCAAGATACCAAATCCTCGGCCTTGTGGGATTAACCACAATCAGCATCTAGTGTCCCCTAAGTATAAGAAAGACAATTAGAACAATTACAAATTATTTTGAAAATGAAAGAATTTAGGAAAGTTCAGTATACTACGTACGTACCCTTGACAGTAAGGCGCCAAAAACAAAGTCTGAGACCCCGGTACTGCCCTAGAAATGAAGATATCCAACAAGTCTCTGGATAAATCTTTCTTCATATCAGGTATGTGGCTAGCGAAAGTGTGGGGGCTGATAATCTTGAACTTGTCATCAAGGCCACTGGGGGCTATAAAGTTCTTGAAAAGATATCTAAATCAACAAACAAAGATATCAATAGGATAAATGCTCAAGTACTTAAGTATTTAGTCAAGGTTTTAACAAATACCTGATATAAAAGTTATAGGCATTTGTGCTGGCCATTCCATGCGTCAGAATTTCTTTCAATACTTCATTCGTGACATAATCTGACAAGGGTCGACCGTAGACCTCTGGCTCAAACTCTAGGGGAATCATGAAATCCTTGTGATAAAGCCCAATTTTTATAAATTTTATCCCACATTAATTTAGGATTTAAATGAAATTTTGAGCTTAAATGAACTTTTTATGCATTATTGGATTAATTGGTTGATTTTTGGATTTTGCATAAAAATTGAGATTTTGGATTAAAAATATAAATATTTTGTGATTTTCTATTTTTGACTTGGAATTAATTTTTTCTATTTCTTTGGAAACAAGTCTCATATTTTTAGAAGGATTACTTTTAGAATGTTTTGCAATCTCTTGCCTAATTTTTGTGCATACTTAATATTTAATTTTTTATTATATTTGGATATAATCTACATTAATGGATGCACTTAAATTCTTGTAGGTCAAGAAAGAGTATATGGGAAATCCAATGGTGCAAGATTGTTTCTTGGAATTTAAGCACAATCCAATGGCTAATTACAAATGGGCTTGAGTTTTGGATCCAAGAAAATTTCCTTTTCTCTCTTAAAATAATCCCTCTAGCATGCCTAAGATCACTCTTTTCCATCTATATAGAGACGCACGGACATTAAAACGTGGATCCTCTCCTTTGAATATTATCCCATATATTCACCATATACCACCTCTCACCATCATCAATCCACCATCAAAAATCACTTCCTTCACCCAACTATTCTCACCATATTCCTCTCCTTTCTCACTACACGGCCAAACTCCCATTCACACCTTATCATTCATGGCTATGGCATCTGTCACATCCAGTAATATGGCAACTAGGGATAAAGATATTCCTAAATATTTAAAGGCCAAAAATGACGAGGAGAAATAGAAGAATTTTGGTGAAAAATAATTATTATAGTTTTCCAAGCCAATTATGAAAAGTTGACTAATTAAGGAAAATTGGTCAAGGATAATTATGGAAAAAATATTTTCAAGCCTCAGAAATTTAAGGAAAAATAAGGACAAGGTTCCTTGAGAATTATATTGGATTATAAAATTAGTTTTATGACCAAACTACCCCTAGAGAGATTACAAAGGAATTTAAGGGCAATTTAAGCCAATTTAAGGTCTTTACTTGGAAAATTCCAAATAAATATATTTAAGTGGAATAAAATTCCAAGAAAATTTTTATGATATCCCAAGGAATTATAAGAGATTATAAAATTAAAAGAAGGCCCTCAAGTATTCAAGATTTTTCCAAATTCCTCAGAAAAGTGGAAAAATCACTAAAGAGAAGGAAATTAGTTTTCCATTTTTTTAATTATTGGAAAATTTAATTTGATATGAAGAGGGCAATTTGGGAAGATAAAAATAAGGAGAATAATTTATGGATCTGATGAAAAATAATTACAAGGGCCAGAGTACTGTAATTATAGAAAAGAAGTTAAACCCGGAGTAAAAGTGCACCAATAAAGCAAGACTAGAATCTTACAATTTAAATAGTTCACACTTAGCCATGTGTCAAGCCTCTAATGGATGGTAATTAATGCTTTCCAAGTGTTAAGCCACCAATGGAGAGGATCTTGACTTTGGAATTTAATTACATTATGATTTAAGTTAATTAAGAGAGAGGTTTAAGACTAATTAGGCGCTTGACACTTGGCTCCTCATTAATGATGGTTGGTGGGATATTTTGGTGCATTGAATGAGCTTCTCCTCTCCCTAATCTGATCCATATTTTGTGCAAGGAATGAAGAGAAGAAAAAGGAAGAGCTTCAAAGGAAAACCAAGAGAAAGGCATCAACTTTGGTCATTCAATCAAGGATTTAAGGCGAGTTCTTAGTTCTAGCTGTGTTCTTGCCTTGTTTTCTTCTCTTTTATGGTTAAAAAATCTGTCCCCTCTCTCTTTAATGGTTGGCCAAACTGAATAATAAAAGGGAAAGGGAGTTTTGTTCATTACACTTGCTAAGACACAACAACACAAGTTAGATCCTAGTATTTGCAAGTGATTATAGTTGGTTTTGAAGCATTTTTCATGGTTATTTCCTTGAGTGTTATTTTTGGACAAAGCAAGATATGAACCCTAGGATATGTTTTTCAAAGTTTTAAGGCTTCCATTGTGTTCAAAATGAAGGATAGCGCAGGGTAAACCTAAAGAACAAGTATTGGAAGCCAGAGAATCAAAGTTGCAATTTTTGAGTTTTAAACCCTAAGGGTTCGGTCAAGCTGAAACTGGAAGAGGAAAATTTATTTTGTTAAATCCAAGTAGATATTTGGAATCTGCATGAAAAATCATGAGTGGTTGAGTCAAGAGGGAATTTTTAGGGTTTATGGAAACCAACTCTAAAAATTCAAGAACAAAGATGAAGGCTTTAAGGGGCTTAGGAGTTACTTGAGTTATGCTATTGATTTTATGAGGAATGGTTGATGATTCTTGCTACCCTTTTTATGAATTACCATGTTAGGGTTTGGCACTTGTGGAAGCAAGAAAGAACAACAAGAAAAACAAAAAGCATTGGATTAAGGTAGTGGGATCTAATTAGCCATTAATGTTAACTTTGCATTGTTATTTATGGCATGTATGCTTGCTATTATATGGTTGAACTATGATGTTATGATATGGTTACTCCTTGCATTTGTTGCCATTTCCTTGCATGTTGAGGTTGCCTATTTATAAAAGATTAGTTCTCCTATGATAGCTAATATTGAAATGCTTTATAATGATGCATGTTAATGTTTTGTTGATTGATCTTGCTACTGGGATTTCTTAAAATCTCATCCCCCAAATATAATCTAACATTTTAGGGCCTAAAACTACTATGAGCAAGCTGTAGATTGGAGGCTAAAGTATGGTGTTTTGCCATAAAATTCGTGGACCCTTTTTGGTTATGTATATATTAAGCTAACAGTGCTGTAAGCACACTGACACTGCCGTGTTTACGTGACATTTTGACTATGCTCCCGGATGCAATTAATCACGAAATTTTGTATGATTATAGGTAACGTCCTCATCTTTAATTTGATAGCTAATACATTAAAAATGGCCAAGTATACGAATTTTAATGATTTTTTAAATTCAAAGGTCAGAATCTGGGAAAAAGGGTTTTTGGCAAATGGAGAGTGTTGCATTTCACAAAAACCTGATGCCTTTTCATAACGAATTGGATCATGAGATTATTTTTCCTTGAAAGAGGACTTAAAGAGATTTAAGTAGAATTTTGAACCACCCATTTGGATTTTTTTGGAATAAGTTATGAATTTTTGAAGTTGGGCCAGAAAAAAACTGGATTTTTACCTGATGAACAGTAAAAATCCGAAATTTAGCGTTTTTAAGGTAAAAAGTGAGCCCAAGACCATCCAATGTGGTCTAAAATGGTTTTGAATGGAACCTAAGTTGATATAATAGTAAGGTGTGACAGCATCTAACAACTGTGGAGGAAGAGACATTTTGATAGAGGCTTAAGCTTGTTAGGGAGGCAACTTGGGAGGAGCATGAAGGAGACTAGAGCCTTGGGCTAGCACTTGAAGATTACAAGGGAGTAATGTTCCATTTATCTTTTTAATTCAAGGACTTGAGATTATTTAGTTTTAAATGATTTTAAGTTGTAATTTTGTTGAGACAATTTAGTTCTAGATTGTCATTTTTTATTCTTGGATTGAATTGATATTTGGATCTTATTTGTGCCAAGATACTTGTTGGAATTTATGTTTAGAATCTTTATATTGTTAATTGAATTTATAATTGAGTTTTCATTATGAGTTTAATTATTGATGACGCCTCTGTCGTTAAAGCACTCAATTAAACTAGGTCCTAATTGATTTGTAGTTTAGGATCGACCTAGGTCATTACTTCCAAGGAGCAATTTGTGGGTTTCTTTAGGTAAAAATTCAGGTGATAAAAAAAAAAAAGCAATAAAGTGGACCCAAACTAAAATGCAAAATTCTAATTCTAAATGCAAAATACAAATGTCTTAAAATCTATATGAAAATTAAATCAAACTAAATGAATGCAATGCAATTTTTGGGGGGTTTTTTGAAGGAAAATAAAAATAATGAATAAAGAGAATTAATTAGAAAGCAAAGAAAATTAACAAGTAAAAATTTAGAGATTTCTCTTCAAGTACGGTAGAGGGGATAACTTAGGATTTGCATGGATTTAACCTTCATAACCTTAATCAGTTAATTAAACCAAAGGGAAGTGATAAGAGAGTGGAATTAATAAACTTAATTACCTACTTGAAATAAAGGGAACCCTTAATCTCAAAAACCCTTAAACCATTAGAGAACTCATAACAGTATAAGGTTGGTCAATTAAGCTTATTAAAACCAATGAAGATATCTCAAATTAATTTTGGAAATTATGTTTGAAATCATCCAGTTAAACAACTAGACAATTAACCAACTTAATTAAACAATTAAGAGGCAAAAGAACCCAAATTTTGCAATTCAAACCACATTGATAATTAAACTCATAATGAAAACTCAATTATAAATTCAATTAACAACGCAAAGGTTCCAAACATATATTCCAACAAGTATCTTGGCACAAATAAGATCCAAATATCAATTTAATCCAAGAATAAAATTGACAATCTAGAACTAAATTGTCTCAACAAAATGACAACTTGAACTCATTTAAAACTAAACAAATTCAAGTCCTTAAATTAAAAAGATAAATGGAATATCACTCCCTTGTGGTCTTCAAGTGCTAGCCCAAGGCTCTAGTCTCCTCCATGCTCCTCCCAAGTTGCCTCCCTATAAGCTTAAGCTTCCATCAAATTGCCTTCTCCTCCAAAATTGTTTGATGCTACGGCCATAAATTGATGAAAGTTGATGATGATGTGGAGATGGGAATTGGATCAAGGAAGAGACGTGAGTGATGATGATGAAAGTTGGGTGAGTCACAGAACGTGATGCCCTCCTCTTTTGATGACTATGGAATGAATGTAATATATGGTATATGGCATGTCAAAGTTCACGTTGAATCGTGTCTGTCTGGCTGAATGGAGAAGGATAGAAAAAAATATATTCGGCATGAATCCTTGCTCTCCAAATAAGGAAAATAGCTTAATGAGGAAAAGGAAATT